TTGATGTTGATGTTTCTCGTTAAGGACGTTGTGAAACGGGAGGGCCGTACTTGCTCATTGTTGGGAGGGGGGGGTCGTATTTACTTTCTGGCCTTTCTAGGAGTGGTGGTGGTTGACTTTTCGTGATTTTCCTGTTTCATGCGTACTATATATTCCATCCGATTCAAACTTCCATGGTAATTCTTCAGAGAGGGCCGGAGGGGAGGGGGTCGTCGGACTACACTAAAATCCCCAACCAATGATGTGCCCTGGGTCGTACTGACTGGGCGATATTCGGCGATTTGATGCTTCAGTGTGGGTGCGACATCCGTGGCGCCCGTTTTCCGTTTCGAAAGAACACCTCGAAAAGCACGAGTACGCTGTTCCTTGCCATATTCTTACCGAGTGGGCTACCTTTTCTTTCATACTAAGCGGCTGTCGCTTCTGCACCCTCTCAGAGCGCCTAGAGATTCAGATTCGAAAATATAGTCAAAAGCCATAAGAGGTAGCTCCTTGGACTCCTCCTTGGAGTTCAGCGCAAATGTAGGATCGGGAGACATTTGATTTCAACCCAATGTTTCCGACTGTGCACACCATTTCATTTTTCTTACAAGGGAACCCCAACAGGTCGATCCGGCCATTTGCAATGAGATGTATATATGGACGTGTCTTGAGCCGCTGAATCCAAATCTGCCCTCGGAATTTGCGGAACGATTCTCTGAAGGGAGTTACGGACCATTTCTCTGCTCTGTTCGCACAAGTTGAGAAGGATAGTTGACTGCAGCAAGCGACGATGGCACAGTGGATAAGCCAGCGCTTTCAGAGACACGAACTCGCATGTTGGAATCCTTGACTCTCGGGAATTTTGCTTTTATTCAAAACACTTCATATGAGTCCCTAAAACGCTTCTGTTTGGCCAATTTACCTAGTTCTCTGATTTCCCTCAACGGATACGCCAGCTTCGGGCACAACATTACGACAGAACAAGAAAGCAACAACTGGCTGTTTTTCGTGCGGAATGGCACGTGTTGGTCGTTCCGCGAATTCCGAGGGCAGATTTGGATTCAGCGGCTCAAGACACGTCCATATATATACATCTCATTGCAAATGGCCGGATCGACCTGTTGGGGTTCCCTTGTTAGGCTTAGTCCTAACCTAGTACATCAAAATGCGAATGTTTTCAAACGAAGTATGGCCTTAGGAACGTGTTTATTTTCATAAATGTGAAGTAGTGACGATCATTGATACAGGAATATACATCTGTACAGGACATAATAATCACAATAGAACTAGTCAACAAAACTAGCTAATTTGTTGTATAGAACTACGCTTTGTTTATCACATCAAGAGGAAACGGATGACGAACTGGGTCTTCACCGCGACGCCGTGACTCGAATTCACGTACTACGAAACGCACAGAATCGCTGGCAGATGACACACGACGAGGACTTCGGATACACGAGGCTGAGTGTGCGCGATCCAGCAGTTGTGGGAGGAGCTCCACACGTCCATTAAATTGAGGCGCATGACGATGCCGTGACGCCTCTAGTAGACCCGCAAATGTTTGTAACTGCTCCATGAAACCCTGTCAACGAGAATTTTCTTCGATGTCCCTCAATCTAGGGGAGAACAACTGTCATGATTACGAACCTTATTCGGAGTGATGCAGTTCCTCCTCTTTTTCACGTATGCTAGAGCATGTTCCAAGCTCCAGCCATATTCTTTCATAGCGTACGCTATCACTGTGGATGAACTGCGACTGATTCCCTTTTTGCAATGTACCAAGCAAACCTTACCAGATTGTCTGTAAAAGTCATCAAGTACATAATAAATTAAGGAATACATACAAGCGGTGAGGTAGAATCTGCTTACTTTGCCTCTTTAATGAAGCTATACGTAAGGTTCCAGTTGTTGAGCAGGTTGGTACTTGCTTCATCGGATACTGAGATCTTTACATACTTGAAATGCATCGGAAAGAAGTTGTCCACTTCTCGCGTCATATTCAGAATATACCCCACACTGAAATATCCAGTAAACTATAGCAAACGAAAACTTATCCACATCCCACATCAGACGAAAAAGGAACACATGTATAGCCTAGTTCGCTGCATACGAAGGGGCGTGTAAGGCGGGATGAGTTTCTTTCGGTGCCGAACCTGTTCTCCACCAGCTGTTGAAGCAGGCATGTGACGACGCTGTATCATACCGTTCGTATGCTCGTTTTCCACCAAGTGTTGTCGCGTACCCCGCTTCTACGACTGGCAGATAACGGGTTTGACGCCGTGTCATAATACTGCCTGACACGCCCCTTCGTCCGCAGCGAACTAGAGTGTAGGTGGCTTGAAAGCAAAGAAAAACTCATAGAAACCGCTCGAAATTCCTAGCCAGTAGAACGGCAGTAACAAGTTCGGGGAACCAATGAGGCCCTGACAGTTTATATGCTACTTGAGTGAAGTGACACCCTTTGTCCCGCCCTAATAGATTCGCTTTCAATGTCGAGAACTCCACTAATTATTTTATCATATTTAATCGAAAATTTCTTTGACATCTGGTATTCACAGCTCAGGCAAAAACTCATGCGAAGCACGCGCACTATTCAACGAGAATCTTTTTGCGGGCATAGCTTGCAGCTTCGAATATCCGAAATCTCTGCAGTTGTGGACCTACTTCTTTCACTCGCTGATGATGAGTGAACGATGAATGTGGAATCAGTTGAACAAACAACAACAAAGAGAATAAAAAGAATGAAAAAAAAAACAGAAAACGTACTTATTTTGATTCAGCTCCTCCCAGTTCGAGGCATTCCATTCTGTTCCAAGCAAGAGGTATGGGAAGATACGACTTGGCTTATCCATTTGACCCAGTATCACCAGCATTTCACGGTCAATGAAATCCTAAAAATGATTCTGAGTTCATAATAGTCCATAGCAACAGCAGTTTCGAGAAACTACAAAGATAATCTTTGTTCGCACCTTGTGTCCGTCCACACAGCCTACCCGCTGTGCTAGGGCTTCTCGAATGTCACGACTCGTAACACTGTCCAAATCTACACTTTGCATAATTTGCCGCAGCTCTCGCCGGAGCAGAGCTTCCTAAAAGGACAATATCACAGCCAATCTAATCTGAAAAAATTGCGGGTAAGAGGCCAAATCACCTGTAAAATCTGCTCCCCGTAAACACTAAAAAAGGCGCGATCTCTCCGCACCATTTCACGTAAGAGATCGTATAGGTCGTTTACAGCTTACCGACTAGGTCCACCTGTACCGCTCGCGCATGCCTTCGCACCCTCTATACCAGACATTACTCTGCCACACACATACGTCACTCACTAGACATTCTTGATTGAATGGTAGTCATTTATGGTTTATTAAACCGATATTGTTCCTAGTTTTTAACTGTTGACAAGCGGAGACATATGTGTTCTGTTGGAAGGATCTCGGAGATCCATGATTCAGTGGCTCCGTACTTTTCAAAGTTATTTATGTCAAAATCGGTAGCCGGTAGTGGTGGGTCGTAATTTGCGACAGCGGCGAACTAGGTGAGAACGCGCGTGAACGACAAGCCTAATTACCGATCCAACGAACTGTTATATAGGAACACTTATCAAACTCATCAAGTCCTTCGGCGCACGTTCTTTCAATTCGCCATTCTCCTGTTCTCCCAACCTCCCGATGATGCGACGTATAAACGAGGCTTTTCCACATAGTGTTGTTATGAATATTACCACAAAATATTATGTGCAGTTATTCAGTTCAGTAAACATACTACACTACCCTTGAAGCTCTCGAATACATTTCAGTAAAGTAGTTCGGAGACAGGCATTCTTCCCTATGCATACGTGTCTTTTCACGCGCTGATCAAACGTCAAAAAAGTCAAGAAGCAGAACCTTTGCTTTCCCTTCTTCAGAAAGGTGGTCTCGTACAGTATCGGCTTTTAACTCGTCTTCGTCATCCATCTCCATCGAAGACTGCTGCCTGAAAAAAGGACCATTTATTCGTGTTAAGTGCTCGAAATAGATTAGAAGAGAATAGAAGGAACTCACCATTGGGCGCAAAGGAAGTCAGGGGATGTTATTCGATCCATGTAATGTTCCGTAGCTGTAGCGGGTTCTCGTAGTCTCCGCGTTTCACGCTGAGTGCCTTCGAGCTCCTTATGCAGCGATTGAAATACAAACCTGCATTTGGATAAATAATAAAAAACAAATAATCGTTTGACTAATAATTTTCATTTCTTTCTCATTATATAGGTTCACAAAGTGGTATGTGACAAGAGGATCGTAATTCGCCGCGCTGATGGGCGTCGCGTGCGACGTCGCGCCCGCAAATGACGATGGTTCCAGGTAGTAGATGGCGACAACAGGCAATTCAGAACCGAAAATAGTCATGAATGTCTACGATGACGGGGTCTACATGAAGTCCGGTGCTCCAATCGACAGGTTAACACGTCGAGAAAGGGTCGCGCCCATCGCCACGCGCGGCGGAACGGCAAATTCGATTCTCTTGCCCATCTCCCCAAAGGGTTCATGGGTGAATGTCCATTAGTGCAGGACAGTTTTTGATAGCAGCATATAACAAAGAAAATTCTTACCACATAGCTTGGACGGAAACAGGTCGGAAAAGAAGGGCGTTGTCTGCTTTACTAGATGCTCCGGACCCGTATACAGCAACCCCGCCATCTCCAGCTAACTCAACGCGACTGCACCACAAAAGCGGTAAAACAACACCTATCCTGAAAAGAGGGGAGTTTGATATTACAATTTATATTCGAACAAAGTGCAGGGAGCGAATACTCACGTCATATGTCCTTTGTAGTAATCCATTCCAATCAGTAGTGTTAGTTTCTCTACATCGTGGGTCGATACTACGGCAAGATACCGAGCGTGGTCAGAGACCTGAATGGAAAGAAGGATATTCATCAGATGAGGAACCTCTACGGCACTCACAGTTCAACTAGGAACTGTTAGAAAAATTACACTGGATTACAACTTGCAAACAACTATGCTTTCTGCAGAAGCAGTTACATGCTAAAAGCCGGGCCTGTCGATCAGTATAATAGTGAATAGTAAGGACTGGAGCTTCTCATTAGTATCATTTTCGGAAGAATACGTGCATACTTCCTGATATGACCCCTGTGAGTGCTGAAGTAGGAACCTTTCACGAAAAATGTCCACCACCATAGGTACGATTCAATCGTACATCGAGCAAACATGGGACCAACAATAGCACTGTACGGGAGCGACCCGTCAAACCACTACAAATCTGTCATTGACTCACATGATTGCACTCTAGGAGGCGTAAAAAGAGTAAAGGGAAGATAAGGACCGAGCTTTCAGCCATAACTCAAATCCGAACTGTCTACTCAGGGAAGGAGACCATAATAACTTCTATTTTCATGATAGGAAGTGCGGAAGTACATGTCGCGAGACAGGGGGCCGCAGCGCCTTCCGCGTAGGATAAACAGTTGTAACACTCAAACTTTTAATTTGCACAGCGTTAAGGAATTACTGTGTGCTAGACGCGTGCGCTGAAGACAGCAATAACAAGCTCAAGATAACTTGCCCAGAGCTAAAGAAGCTCGAAAGTCCAAGATCAGCACACTTGCTCGAGTTGTGGCCAGAGCGCAAAAATCGCTTGGTCTCAGCTCATATACGTACGAAGTGAATGTGATGGGAATAATGAGCTCGTCCAAAACAATACAGAGGGATCCTTATAATGTAAACTAGCAGATTTCAGGAGTGACATTTCAAACAAACATAAAGGGTAAAATATGAATACATATCATGATCGAAGCCAAATGCCATAAATGTTACTGGGTCTGGAAGGCGAACTGCCAATTGGCTTCATTTTGTCTGTGGACCGCAAACCACTGAGCATGAAGTTAGAAGATTGGCCTTCATTTCTGCGACCATTGCGAACCATGGAGACAGGGTAGGGAGAATTATCTCCTGAAAATCAAATCAATTGAGTCGTAACACATACGGATGTGCCGCGCTTCCCAGGTAGTGCCTTCCATTCACCAACAAAACCCCTCGTAATGTATTGTTCGAAGCGAAAGAAACCACTTCCCAAATCTGCAGGCCCACAAATGAAACCAAGGGTCCCAAGTCGAGTTTTCAAACTTTCCGTAAGAGAAGACTAAAAAACCGTCCACTAAACCACCTTGATCTGCCTGACTGAACTGGCTAAACTACTCTAGCTCTTTTAGCCCTTAATCAGAACTTACAGATCAGAGCCAAACAATCAACGCGACTAATCGCCAATATTTGACTTTGCGAAAAGCCTTGGAATAAGGGCTGTTTCCACAGGGTAAGAAGTGAACTGTGGAAGCTTCATTTGTTTTTGGTTATCCTACCAAGCAAGCTGCAGCAATCCACAGTAATTGGCAGCCGAGAAGAAAAATTCTTAATGATTTCCCGTTTCCAACAAGACATTTCGAGTATGCAAATCGAGTGCTATTTATGAATTACAGTATGAAAAACGTATAAGCTTACCCGTGTGGCAAAACGACAGCTGCACCACGGACAGCAAAGTAACATTCGGACATGCTCCGATTTCGAGACGAACATCTCGAATCATCGAAGTCCTGAAAAATAATTTGCAATTGGCTTCATTGAACTGACTGCTGTCTTTAACTGCAATTCGCAATGAATACTTTTGTGGGGAGGTAACACGGCAGGTGATACAAGAGATACAAGGACCTGACGCCTTCAACTTTGAAGTGGGCGAAAAACTGGTGTAATCAACTTCCTAAGCAGGAGTCAAAGATAGCAATCTAGAGCGGATACTTTTTTGCATTTTTCTCGCAGAAATGACGGGAAAAGTAGATGTTAAATTCTTCAACTCTGAGCTCCACTTTTGCAGCACCCGGGCACGATTACTTCGCTGTTGACGGGCTTGGAACTGCATTCCATCCTGTTAACTACTTTTAGGTAGTTCTTAGGAAGAAAGGCTGTAAACGCGCCTCCATCTTCATCAAGCTAAACTTCTACTCAAGCTATAAACCATGTAAGCCTAAGTGGAATAGCATTCCACATATTAGCGCACTTTAATTAATCAATATCACGTTACCAACAGGCGCCAAGATTCTTCATCTTTAAATTTATAGCACGGCGCAACACTTAAGGGACCTGAGCCTCAAAAAAGTGACGAAATGCACAGGACAAATCTCAGCTTTTCGAGAGGGAAAGCCTGCAGGAATAATAATGTGTAAGAATGGCACATCATTTCGACCTATGAGGTTTTCCGAAAACAGACTCCCATCCTTCATAGAGTAGGGGTAATAGGTACGTATGTGAGCTATCAGGTATAGTAAATGCGAAGCTACCGACTAGAGATGGGTATTTAGCGTGCCTGAAAAGGAAACTACCATAAAAAAACCACTGGACCAAATACAACCCTCTCCCAAGAATAAAATTCGACTCCCCACTCATTGACGAGTGATTAATGACGTCTTGCTACCAGTACGATCTCCATTACAT